AATTCAGCACATCTCAGATGTGCCTATTTTGATGATGTACCAGCGCTATTTTTCCTGATATGCCATACAAATCCCTCAATTTCTCGTCTTTCATTTTTAAAAAAAACTCCTTACCTCACCGAAGGCACTACGAGTTGAAGGCCAAAGCACTACGATGGCTTAAGTCAAAAATTGCTTGTACTGAAATGTTCAAAAAACTTCAATTACACGGGGAAAAAACAAAAAAAAAAATTGAAATTTTCAAAATCTTTGAATGCGTGAGGAAAATTCATACAAACACGTCATGGTATTACTCTCCCTATATAGGAATAGGCACTCTGTTATTATCGTGTCTAAAACTGAGGAGTCCCGTGCATCTTCGATAAAATGAGGAAAGCGCGAAAGTGCCTTCAATTTTGAACACGCAACACGCACATCCGTGGAACACGAATAGTTGCATCAAGGGGCTGCAGTCAACTCGCAATCACATCCATTGATGGTCAAAGTACATAGCTACGCATCCCCCTTGCAATGTTTCAAAATTTCCGCTCCTATTACTGTTTTCAAAGAGAAACAAGCCAGCTTGGTAGCTTGAAATTCCTGTAGGATATTCTGTCGGGTGAAAAGAAAAATTAAGGATTGAGTTTTCAAGAAATTGCATGGACGCGTTTTCGAAGAAATACTGGAGTATGACAGGAAGTCTTTAACGTCGCAAACGGAAATACGTGGTTTCGCACTTTGGCCATCGCTGTGCGGTGAAATTAAAGGCGAATCACAAGAAGACGTCCTTTTAAGTTTATGCATCGTTTAGTCCATTGGTGCTATCAAAGGTTACGGAGCGAGATAGGTACATTTATTTTTTTCAAATAGATTATTTATTAATTTTTTTTTATCAGTTAAAAAAGTAAGTTTCCAGGCAGGGCCGGATTTACTCACTTGCCACCCTTGGGCCGTCTGTATTTTGCCGTCCCCTTCTCATTCGTTTTGAAACATCAATAAAAACCATCAAGAGAACGTGCCGGAGGAGGAGGGGTGCATAAGACGCGTTTACTCGTGTTGGACACATTTTTTGCGAAAGCCCTGTCAACACTACTGGCAACAGTTCACGGAACTTGGCGCGAAAGGTAAGTTCCGTAAACCTATCTCTGTGTGGACAAGGCCTTCCATATATGAAATGAACGAACAAATTATGAAAGAACAAACATAAATGTGGTTTAATAAATTTTAAATTCCACCGCCGCGCCGGCGCACTATGGTCCAATAGCCCGATTTAAGCGGCAATAAATCGGAAAATTGAAGTTTGGAAAAAGTTCGATTTCAATACGTAGATCGATAGTACATACTGTAAAGAAGACTCCTGTAAAATATCATCTAGATTGAAACACTAATAAAGATGTGACAAGCCTGGGAAGTGCGGCGCGCGGAGCACTTTTGAGTACGCTTCCAGTTACCGAGCGGCAGTGCTGTGTTTAAGGGCTTGTTTTCGTTGTTTCACCGTAACTGAAAGTGTTTGGGTACTTGATTCACAAAATATAAGGTAATTTCTAGATGTTCCATGTTGAAACAATTCTTTTTTATCATGTCTAATGCTCTAGATTAAACCTTATACATGGTCAGTTTTTTCAATAAAATCGCAAAAGTATGACCCAAAAAATATACTTTGCACCTCTGAGCACCTCGTAATTTTACTCGGAAGTTATTGTCATGACTCTAGACTACCTTTTAGTCTGAGTGGCAGAACCATAGTCCACCATAGCCTCGAGTTATTTCTCATGAAAAATGACGTTTTCGCGTTTCTTAGCAGTCACTACTATTAGCTATCATATGCCATTGACCATGCATTTTATCATGTTCCACTCTCATATTCTATCAAAACAGATATGCCTTAGAGCCTAAATTTACCCAGGCAGAATAATACGAGTTGATGGGGCTGATCGGAAGGAATTGAAACTTATGCTTAAGAATAGCGAAGAATCGCCTCGGGAGGCCACTTTAAAGGTCCCGTAAAAGTTTTTTTTTGACGTTATACCATGTTTCAAACATACAATTTATCAGAATGGATACATGTAGGCTCAAGTTTAGCTTGGCAGATGAAAACGCGTTCAAACGGTTGATCGGTGGGACTTGAAAGTAAGGCTCCCTAGCGATGAAATCGTCTTAGGAAGCTACTTTGAGGTCCCGCAAAAGTTTTTTTTTTGACGTTTACCCATGTATCAAACACACAGTCTATCAAAATGGAAATATTTAAGCTTAAGTTCAGCTTGGCAGAACAAAAACAAGTTCAAACGGCTGATCGGTGGAACTTGAAAAGTAGGCCTCCGCAGCCATGAAACTTTGAAGTATTATCCTGAGCTGTCTTTTTCAAGTTCCCTTGACAGTAGTGTTCGACGAAGTTCTACTTTTAGCCTCTTATAGTCCATCCAATGTAAAATTTAATCGTGAAGCTTAAAAAAAAAAAAAAAATTTCCTCCGAAATTCGAACCCGGGACCTAAGATGTACGAGTTAGACACGGTGTCCACAATACACCACCGCGAAACCGTCGGAATATCGCCTCAATTTAAGGTTTTTCCACAAATTATACCGCAGTTATAAAAAAGTATAAAAATGTTAAAAATTGATTTTTTTCTGAAAAATGTTAGCATTGCACTCAGCGACCCAAAAAACCCCTGAAAACTCATGTTGCAAGGTATAAACATACATATCGACGGTGAAACTACCAAACCACGTATCTCGGTTGCGGTGTTTAAAAATCTACGCTCACATTTTATTTTTTTAAAGTAGACCAAATCAATATCATTCCTTGAAATTTTCACAAAATTTTCTCCGCACGAAGACGAAAAATCACAGAAATTTTCAAGACTGGACGTTCAGTAGTTATTCATTTAGAAAATAAAGTATGACAGGAAGTCTGCGACGTCGCAAACCGAGATACGTGGTTTGGTAGTTTCACCGTCGATATCTGATTTAATGCCACTTAAATCGGGCTATGGGACCATAGTGCGGCGCCGCTCTGCGCTGGCCGCACTGTGTTTTACGCAATGCATGAAGTATTCATGCAGTCTTGTAGGCGCTATGCGTTTCATGCCGCTCGCTGCTGACCGCACTGTCTTTGACGCAATGCGTGAAGTATTCATGCAGTCATGTAGGCGCTAATATGTGTTACATGCCGACCGCCGCGCCGCGGGTTTCTCCTTTGCATCTCAAGTTCTCGTCATCATTGCTCTCTGCCAAATTCCGTGTTCGGTTTCTCTCTAGTCTTAACTTGACTAATTAAAGTTGCTGTCTATTGTATCACAGAAAGACGACAAAAGTAGAGATATACTCGCAGAAAATGAGAGATGTTGTCACCTTTTCTCGTTTGTAATTTTTTTTCTGAATCCGATTTTTCCTTATATCTACCTACACTTAAAAAAATTGCAAAATTTGCCGCGGCCCATGTTGCCACCCCCTAAATCCGGTCCTGTTTCCAGGAGCGGTGAAAATATTTCTACGAATTCTACGGCGAAATGTTTTTTTTCTGAGAAGGAAAATATTTCTCGAGAGAAAGAGAAATTCGGCATTTTTATAGGTGCAAAATAATTTCTTCACATCTATTTTTTTTTCTTTCCGTAAATATATTTTTATTTCTCAGGGTTACGGAAAATAAGGCCATAGATAGGCGAACATTTTCATGCAGTATTTCCACAATAATCTGATCTGCAATATTGACAAGGAAAAGACGGCCGTAGAGATTGCTGAAAAACAGTGAAAATAACACATCTTGGCAAAAAAGTGGCATCAGCCTGTTTTTGCAAGTTTCGACCTTCATGAAGAATTGATGCAATGTTCTATCGCAAAGTTACTTTTCCATTTCATGAGGAATGTTTCTATTTTGATGCAATGACTGCTTTTAATATTCTCTCGGATTTTAGGGTATTGAGGCAATATTTCAAAAATATTGCTTTTCAGAGTGGATGGTGACTAACAGTGGCAAGGCGTGAAGGATCGAGTATTGATGTTTTTCTGTTTGAAGCTGTGATGGGAAAGAATAGATTAGGAAGGTGTTTTGCGAACACCCTGTTTATCAATCCTTTTCATTAGGTTTGGATAGCATATCAATTGATACAGCGCAAAGCACACCACACCACTGGTGACTAAGGTTGAAATTTTAAAAGGCTGCTGAGCCAGTTAGAAAATAAAACCAAAAGATATATGAATGCTTATTACCGACAACATTAACTAAAGTGTCTCGGGGGGTTTTTTTTTTTAGTTATTTTTTTTTTTTAAGATACGTACAAACCTAACACAACAGAGAATTTGCAGGTGTCTGAAATTTGATGAATTTTGTGTTGAAGTGGAAACTACTGAGTGAACTGAACACGAGGATACCCTTGGTTCATGAATTGCACAATTATTGGAGAAGACATGACAAAATGATCTAATCTGCTAAAATATGTGTGTTTAAATGGGAAATGTCGCCAGTTGTTGTCACTAGGCGGTGCATTTTATCACTTTTAAATCTACTTTTACACTATTTCCCATATCAGAAAAAAATTATAAAAAATACTGTGAAATCAGCTCTTTCAGCACTTTCAGATGAAGCAATAAAAAATTTGCATGCAAATTCTTCATTCACTTGATAAAATATCTCTTAAGATGTTGGCTATTGGGTTGGGTGGAAATTACGGACTAAATTATGCAAAATAAACTTTTTATTGAAAAGTATTATTCAATCTTACTCTGTATTTTGTTCTTACAAACGGATTTACAAAAAATGGCTGCTAATCCACACAAGAGGAAAGAAATGAACAATACTGCCTTGTAACCATAGCTATCAATGACAAAACCCGAGATGAGAGGTGTTATTAGTTTGGCAACTGACATGACACTATTGAATGCACCGTTGAGTGATCCTCTCTCAGAGGAATCACTGTTCTCGAACACCATCTCGATCGTAACAACTCTCAATAAAGAATGGCTAACAAACAATGGAACTAAGAAAAACATAAACAAGGAAAATGAGTGAACAAACGTCAAAAAGAAAAAACTGATGCTCAGTAAAATTAATAAATAATAACATCGCACTATGCTTGACTCTGCGATATGAACGTACTTAAAAGCAAAACCAGCAGCTGCGCTTATGAATCCTTGGAATGAGACAGTGTAACCAATTGTTGACGGTGACATTTTGAAGGTCTCTTTCATGTATGATGTGTAGTTGGAGAAAAACATGAATACTGATACTCCAATGAGGAACCTGACTAGAAAGACCGGATAATGTTTCTCCCATTTAATGGAAATTAATTTCATACACGTCAACTTGACTTGCTCAATGACAGAGGCATTAGAATTTTGCACTTTCAAGTTATCCTTGGAATTCTTCACGAAAAAAATAACTATAAGGGAATTGACAATGAATAAAAAACTGGTAATTGAGCAAACATACATGAATCCATTTTCTAACTCAGCAATGTGTCCCCCAAACGAGGGACCAATGACAAATCCTAGAGATGTAATAGATGTGAAAAGTCCATACGCTTCAAGCTGCTGACTTGGCGGGGTAATGTCTGCTATGATTGTTTTGCATAAAATCTGTGTGCTTTTGATAATACCAAGAATAAACCTGGAGAGCAGAATAAAGATAAATGCCGTAGAGTAGCCTAGAAGTAGGTAACATGCTGAACAAATGAATAGAGAGAGAACCAAAACATTTTTGCGACCACTCACATCACTCCAACTCCCGATACATGGACCTGAAAGCAACTGCATAAAAGAATACACAGACCCTAGAAGTCCTATTTGTACGTGTGAGATGCCTAAAGATAGCAAATGTGTAGACAGAATAGGTATCACTAAACTTACACTGAACAAATCTATAAGTGAAATCAAATAAACTAGATACAGCTGTCTTTTCCTACTCTCTGAACTCTCACTCATTTTGAAGAGTGTGCAGAAAAATTATGTGCGGTAAGAAGATAAATTCTAAAAATCCAGATGGATCAAATAAAAAAATGATCTGAAAAATTCAATACAGTGGCACTCATAATCAATGGTTATTGAAAAAACAAAAGTTTTTGTAGATCACAGACTAGATACTTAACCTACTTTAATTTTTACAATTAAGGTTAATGTTACCGCAGTCGAAAAAGTCACACACATGATAGGACTTTCAGATCATAATTGGGAAGTGACAACACGTTGACACAGTTCACACAAAAAAAAAACACAATAAAAAAACTTGGTACAAGAATTAACATCCAAGTAGAATTTGAAAATTAGCCGGAATGTCTCTAAGAGAGAGAACCACTTCTTAAATTAAAGTTCTAGAGCATTGTTGCCGTCTCACAGCTTACAGTTCCGATTTTACGGTATCTTCTGGTTCCTGAAAAAAGATGAGAAAACCTGATGATTAATATTCGAAGATTTGTATAAGTATCTTCCCACCAGCAGATTACATGTGCAAAAACTGAGAAGAAAGAGAACGAAATAAAAGTGCCAACGAAAAATTTTAAAAAAAAGGAACTGTTCTAAGGAGCACAGAGGATCAGTTCGAATACCAGCAGATAATAATTTTCCTCATCAATGGATAAATTATTGAAGGCAGTCTCACAAACTGTTAGCCCTCTTTAATAATTAACAAGAATAAAATGAAATTATATTTACACAAGTTGTCTGTATTTACATGTCTTGCCAAAAAGTTTTTGGTTTAGGATATAGTTGCTTTTACTGTGGTATACAGTTTGATTAGAGTGCCCTTCAAGTGGCAACAAAATATACCTAGGGATGCAGATAGTTCTTGACCTTCCTATTTTTTTAAACCTGCAATCAGGGCTTTTCCAAGGTTGCATGTCACTAATCGCAACCCGGTTGTGAGGTTCAGGAGTTTTTGCACCCCTGCATATATTTTCCTAGTTTAGGTTTTATCTTTTGAAAAATGATGTGACAGTGACTTCCAACTCTGTCAGTAGCTGTTGTGTGAACCATACACAAGCGCAGACAGATTTTGAAGATGTAGGTAAATTGGAGTACATCTTGCGATTTGGAACTATAAATTCTAGCCCGGTTTAAAAACTACGTATGTGCCATGAGTTTACCTATGCACATAAGTGTTTTTCCAGAAGAGCCAGAATTTATAGTTCTAAATTGCAAAATGCAGTCCAATTCTTTCTGCAGTTAAATTTTAATAAAACAGGAGGAGAGTAGTCCACTTTACATTCAACTGTTAAAATTGATTCTAAATATTGACAGTCAAGTAAACTTCATGTGAGACTTACGTTTTACCTCAGCTCAAAAAAATAAAGTTAAAAATGCGTAGACTGTGTACAAAAAAATTAAGAGTGAATTGTACTTACAACAGCAGAATATTTTCCTGGGTAGCTCTTATTTTCTATAGTTACTTCTAGACATCTTTCTTGTTCTATTAGAAAGTCTTTAGCATCCCATGCCAAGGAGCCATCTTTGAACATGAGAATAACCCTATTATCTGCGACTGGATACCTGTTAGGCAGAAATATAATGTAAGACAATTGAACGTTAGACGAAGAATAATTCAGGAAATATGGTCTTTGAAGAAAACTGAAACGGGGAAAGTAGTTAATGACTTAACTATACCTACCTGTGAGGGAAGATAAAGGTATTGAGGAAAGATTCACATTAAATTTTGAAAAATTCTTCCCTCAAGATAAATAAAGTAAAAAAAATAAAAAAAATAGACAATGAAACAAAAAGAAAATATATATTTTCATTTTCATCGCAAAGGAGGGTTGATACTCCTAGTTACTAGAATACCTTCTTTAAAAAAAAAAATTACTAGTGAGTACTAAAAGTTGAAGTGGGTGACAAGGTGCACGAACAGGTGCATTGACAAACTTTCAACGCATGTAAGTGACTATATTTTTCAAGACATTTTCATTAACTTAAAAAATCTGTGTGTTCACTTCCCTCCCCTTGCATACTGTAAAGGCTGACAATCCAGTCATGGAGACAAAAAATGCCAAGCTTAGTTGCACAGCCATACTGAGGCTCCAACCCTAATTTAAAAACACTATGTAGCCGGATGAATACTGTAAATTACCTTTCTGTCTGAATGTGGTTGTTCCACAGACTAGTCTGCCAGAGCTTCGTTATTTTTTCTGTCTCTTCTGGAGTAGGGTTTCCAGTGACGGTAACGAAAACCATCAAAGTCCTCCCTTTTTTAGACAGCTTTAGTATGCTTTCTGGGTCATTACCTTTGATCTGAAGGAAAAAAAAGAAAGCAACAATAAGAATGGTATTCGCATATTTTCAAAATAAAATAATTCATGGCGACTCAAACAAAAAAATCGAGCAACATTGACACACATGAAGAATTGTTAGGCGTTTCCTAAAAATCGTATGTACAAATCAGGGGACAACGTATGTCCATGGCTAAAGTAAAGAATTGCATATCTCAGATTGCGACGCTGTAAATTTACACTCATATGTTAATCTCTTGAGAGAAAATTAGGACACTCTTTCTATGGAAATTTTTGGTGATTTTTTTTTTTTTTACTACCTACTTTAAAAAAATCAGACAAAATCGCAAACACAAGCTGCACAGCTGTCCTGGTTAGTTGGTTTCCATGATTTTTTTACTAAAAAAATCAATGTTTTGGATGAACTTTAATCAATGTCTATGTTCTTTGGATGGTCACATGATTCATGATGGAGATGAATTAAAACAAAAGACTTTTGGATTAAATTAGGGCCGAAAATAATTTTTACTTAGGTAAAAAGATTACTGAGCATACATGGATACCTCACATATTTTTCTCTTGACAAGCCAAGGGAGGTGAGAAATATTCATCGTTGGGTGTTTTACCCATTTTCATTTCTAGCTGGCTGGGAAATATCAAAAAATGATGAATGTTGCGTGAACACAAATGTTTTATGATTTTAAATAAAACTACCAAAAATTGAAGTGAGGGCAGTGGAAGGAGGGAAGTTATTTCTTTTCATTTTTTGTTTTAAAAAAAAATGTCTTCTTGCTTAGAAAATCATAAGTGCCTACTTGGCTTACTTAAGTCAGTTTCGGAGCAAAGTTAGAAGAAAAAAAGGTTCCTTAAATAGAGTTAGGTGACAGTTTTCTACAATTAACGCATTTAAGATGTATTTGAGACCTTACGGAAAAATGCATAAAGATGAGCAACTTTATCAAGGAGTGGAAATGGTTCAAGTTGTTGTCTTATCAGGTGTGGGATACATAACAATTCAAGGAAAATGCAGCCCATTTAAAGTAAAAAAAACCTAGTAAGTAAGACAAAACGAAGTATTTTGATGATAAACACGGAAAAAATTAGCATGGGTTAGGGGCTGGATTCGCCTGTTACCTAACTACTAGCATCTCCTTTCCATTCAAAACATGAGCCCGGGGGAGGGGGGGGGGGGGTTCGTGAATAGATGAAATTTGCTTAGAAGAGGGAGAAGGCAAAACTTCAAAATACTTTCGAAAAATGACCTCTAGTTAGAAAAGATAGGTACCCCAAAAAAATATTCAATCTCAAATGAAGGCAGGGCGGGCAGAGGGTTGCCACCCTGCATTTTAGATGTGCTTGGTGGTCTCTCGCCCTGTGGGTCTCCTTACACAAATACATTTCTCTTTAATAGGCAGAGTGATTACTTCTTTACTTACTTTGAAATGTTTTGTAAATAAGTAAAAGTACTTTACTTACTTTACTAAAATCTAGGGCAGGCTGCGGTCTGAGGTATTCAGGAAGTTCGTCCGGTTCCAGTGGCTCCTCGTCTTCCTTCACGTGAAAAAATGAAAATGAAAGCAATTAGATCATGAGGAGACATGCTGCTCATGGATATTCCCTTTTGAAGTTACAAAGACAGAAACAATGCAATATTTCAAAATGTTAACGATGTAAAACTTAACAAAACTGTCTAGATTGATAGCAGTGTTGGAATGACTTTTGAAGTACTGTAAGCTGGGGCAGAGGAAGGAAGGAACGTAAAGGTAAGTATACAGATTGTTTCGTTGTCTCACGACACCATTATCAACCGCTAAAAAAGGACAAAAATAAAAAAGAAATTTAAATAAAAAGAAACCAGCACAACATTACATGGTGATGGTAATGAAAGACTGTAGTCTTTCAAGTAAGTTATGTACATCAGCGTAAATTAAGTGAATTACACAGGGAATTAGTCAACAGACCAGAGAGGGGGAGAAAATAAATAAGCATGGGTAAATAAATTGAAGTGTGAACTGACATTAAAAAAAAAAAAAAAAAAAAAA